GACCGGCCTGCACTATGCGCCGCCCGCACCTGCCGCCTACGGTCTCTTCGACGACGCGACGGCCGCCGCCGCCGCCGCAGCGCTGGGTTTGGCGCCACCCGCCGCCCGAGGTCTCCTCACTCCGCCTGCGTCCCCACTGGAGCTGCTGGAGGCCAAGCCCAAGCGCGGCCGCCGCTCCTGGCCCCGCAAGCGCACCGCCACGCACACCTGCAGCTATGCCGGCTGCGGCAAGACCTACACCAAGAGCTCACACCTCAAGGCGCACCTTCGCACGCACACAGGTGAGAGGCGCGAAGGGGTGTGCGCTGCGGAGCCGGAGCCGGGTGCGGGAGGAGGGACGCAATCAGAAACCCCCCGGAGGGCTAGACCCGGGAGGGAGATTCGGGAGGAGGCACGCACTCTTAGGACTCCCCTGGGGGCGTGGCTCGGGAGGTTGCGAGGGGACGTGCTTTTAGGAACCTTAGGGCAACTCTGTCGCAGAATATTGGGGAGGGGGTGTACACATAGGATCCTCCTGGTAGTGTGGCTCGGGACTTTGGGGAGGGGTTGTGCACTTAGGAATCCTCGGGAGACTGTCTCCGAATGTTGGGGAGAATATGCAAACTTAGGACACCTCTGGGGGCGTGGCTCCAGACACTGGCGAGTGGACAGTGCGCACTTTGGACCCCTTGGGGGCAACACCATCAGGGGTGGCGGGACCAGTGCCTAGGATCCTTAAATGTTCACAACGGGGGTTGCCTCAGGGAGCCTGTCAGGGGTAGGTTGCGGCTCCTATGTAGCCGCTATCGGGGCGAGTGTCTGTGCGGGGGCGCCGGTGGCTGGCAGAGGAGGCGCTGGGAGGGAAACTGAGGCCCGTTCTCGCCCCCTCCCTGCAGGTGAGAAGCCCTACCACTGCAATTGGGACGGCTGCGGCTGGAAGTTCGCGCGCTCGGACGAACTCACGCGCCACTACCGCAAGCACACGGGCCACCGGCCTTTCCAGTGCCACCTCTGCGACCGTGCCTTCTCGCGCTCTGACCACCTGGCGCTGCACATGAAGCGGCACATGTAGCCTGGACGCCCCCGCCCACTCGTGCGCGGCCGTGGCGGGTCCCACGCGCCGGACGCGGCCCCCTCCCAAACTGTGACTGGTATTTATTGGACCTAAGGACCGGGCCGGGCACAGCATGGCCACAGAGGAGGCTCCTCTCCCCGAAGACGATGCGACGACGATGCTGCCGCCCTGGCCCCCATCAGAGACTGAAGGCCCGGTGGGAGAAGACCACGATCCTCCTTGACGAGTTTTGTTTTCAAAATGGTGCAATAATTAAGTGTCGTCTTCCCCTACCGGGTCTACACTAGAGGATCGAGGCTTGATGCCTTGTGAAAAAATACAGCCTTAATTTGTACTGTCTGCAACATTTTTTATAATATTGTACATAGTGACTGTGACAGATATTGTATTACTGTAAATAAGGAGACAGGTGGGCATTGGCTGCCTGGTTCATTTTTATAAGACTTTTGCTGTTTTTTTTAATTAAAAAAGTTTTGCATCTTTTTAAAAAATCACAGCGCTGATCAGGCTGCTTGAAAGCTGGGGGGGGGGTTGGGGCAACGAAAGGGCTGAGGGAAAAGGCAGCTTTGATGGAGGGCAGCCTGGCAGAGGGGTGGGGGTGAAAGTGGGTCCTGCCCCGCCAGCACTCAGCTTGCCAGCTGCAGCGCCCAGCTGCCACAAACCTGTGGGTTTTTCTATAAATTTAAACACTGCATTTTAGGACTGAGGGAGAGCTATTTTAAGGTTGTTCCCCGAGCCATAAATTGCCTCTTTTTCTCTGGAGCTGGGGAAAGTGCTGGTCCCACTGACGTGGCCACCTTTGGGCTGAAAAAAGCCTCACCTACTTCTGAAGCTTCTGAGGTTTTAGCCAAACTTCTGGAGTGCGCAGACTTTTTTGGGGGTGGGAACAAAATGTTCAGTTCCTGACATGCTTTGCCTTTTACTAGTCTTGCCTTTAGCAGGATTTTTTTTTTTTAAAGGAATGAGTTCCCCGTCTTGTTTGGAACAAAATGAAATCCACATTTGAGAGCCAAACATGGTGGGTGCTTTCTCCAGATGGGGAAACTGAGACCCAGAGAGGTAGCTATGGAGTGGTGGCATTAGGGTGCTAGCCTGATCTGGGGGCTTCCAGAGGGCCCCCAAACCCCACTAGAGGGGACTGGAGTATTTCTGAAGTAACCCACCTGTTGCTGGCATTGGAGGGACATGAATCCACCCCCGCAGGTGCCCTTGTGTGAAGGAGTCACATCAGAGCCTCAGTGGGTGGAGGTGGCCACTTCAGAAACCCACCTCGCAAGCAAGGGGGCGACCCCTGCCTTCCACTCCGAATGTCTCAGTTGAGCGAGGAGCTGCCTCTCCCTGACAGATTGCCCTGCCATCCCTCATCTTCCCCCTTCTCCGGGCCCTGGGTGGGTAACCATGGCCACCAACAATTGCACAAGTGTTTTCCAGAAAGTGAAAATAGCTCATAAGCATTGCCCGTTTTAAAACACTCTCGCCCATTGCGACAGAAGCTGGGATTTCCTCCCTCCCTCAATCCTTCCTCCCCCCACCCCCCAGGGCAGCCCTGGAAACAGCTGAAAGCGTTTGGTAATCCAAAAAAGCAGAAATGGGAGATGACAATCTGATTCACGCTTCTCGAGTAAATAACTTGGTCCCACTTCCTCTGGTGAGGAAGAGCGTGCGCGTGCGGGTGTGTGTGTGTGTGTGTGTGTGTGTGTGTGTGTGTGTTCATGTGCCTCTTGTACCCTCTTTCTCTGCAGCTTTTGGGGTGTGTGTGTGTGTGTGTGTGTGTGTGTGTGTGTGTGTGTTCTCATGTGCCTCTTGTACCCTCTTTCTCTGCAGCTTTTGCAAAAACTATTCCAGAGCAGGGCAGTGGCCCCTCAACCCGTAGAAATGCCCCTGTTTGCTCAGAGCTGGTTTTGGAGGCACTGGGGGAGGAAGAAAGACAAGAAATTTTCAATCATTTTTGGTAGGGTCTCCAGTCTTTCCTATACGGGGGAAAGCCATTTTTCTGCTAACTTGAGAACAGCTCCCAGGTGTCCCCTGCCCCCGCACCCCCAGGCCTTTGAATCCAATGAGAGGCCAGTTGTAATGACTGAAGTTGTGAGTTTCTGTTTCTCGAGTGCCTCCAACTGATAGAATAGAAAGTGTCAGACTCCAGCCCAGCTGTCCGGTTCAGCGGGAGACACTCCCGCAGGTGAAGTGCCCGCTCACTGACTGATGCAGAGATAACCCTCCTCCTTTGATTTTCCCCTTTTTGAAACGCAAGTGTCAATTTCCATCTAGTAGCTTGTTGGATGGGTGCTTCTCATCCAGGGGCAACCCCGTCTGGAGAGGTTTTTGGTTATCACAGCTGCGGAGGGGGTGCTGATGGCATCTGGTGGGTGAAGGCCAAGAATACGGCAGAAACATTCTAGAATGCACAGGGAAGTCCCCAGCACAGAAAGTGATCAGGCCCCAAATGTCAACAGTGCCAAGGTTGAGAAATCTGCTCTGGTTCCTTAAAGATCATCATGCATTGCTTTTATGAGCAAGGAGGTGGCCCTGTCCCAGGAAGCGAGCTGCCATGGCAGATGCCACCTGGAGAAGTGTTAAACCTCACTGCTGGGCCCAGTCACATCTCTGTGACAAGGCACAGAACCTAAGGCTTTTCCTTCCTGTGAACAAAGCCCTGGAGTCCATTGGAGAAAATGTTAAATATCAAAAAGGAAAAATATTCACCCTGCATTCTATAGCCCAATTCCAGTCACCGTTGTTTTGATGGAGGGGTTGCTGGTCAGTGGCTGAATTGCTCTCATGCTCTCACATGGCTGTGATTATGAATGTATCCTTTTTTGTTCCAGGCAAGATTATAACCATTTTTCCATGTTTTTTTCTCCATGGTATGTTTTTATTATCCTTTTAAATGGTTGCATAATATTCCATTTAGCTGTGCCAGGAATTGCTTGTACAAACAAGCACTGAGTATATATATATACACTTGGCCATGTTTCAGATTGTCCTGGGGTTTGGGGGGGTTGGAAGGAACGGAGCTGTTTTTGGAGGGGGGGTTAGGCAACACCAAAATGACCTCGCAAGAGTGACTGCAGTAATGGGGGTAGGCTGCAGGAGCTGATTCTCTGCTGGAGTTTCCTGAATGCCAGGGAGCCCAGCATTCTGCAGGATTGTGTGGTGTGAAGTGGGGGAGGGAGAGCTGTCAGGGAGTAAGGTGAGCCCCAGCATATGCCTGACTCAGCACCCTGCCCCATCAGCAAAGCTGAGTTAGCACCCAGGCCCGCCAGTACCCTGGGGAGTCAGAAGGCAACCAGCAGAGATGGCTGGTGAAGGCACCAGAGCCAGGCAGTTCCCTCCCGTGGCCTGGACCCACACTGAGCTGGTGTGTGCCATTTGGAGCCAGGTCATTCTCTGGGGTAGGGCCGTCCTGTGCTCTGTAGGATGTTGAGCAGCGTCCTTGGCCCCAACCTGCTTGAAGCCAGCAGCACCCACCCCCAAAGTCGTGACAACCAAAAATGTCTCCAGATATGGCCAAGTGTCCCCTGGAGGCAGAATCACCCCAGATTGATAACCACTGGGTTAGGGGTTCTATGCACACCCAAGAGACTTTGCATCTGTCACTGTCTGACCTACTGAGGGCCTAGGATGCTGCACACATGTAAATACACAAGCTGAGTGAAAGGGAGAGAGGAGGTGACTAACAGACGCTGGGGAGTCTCCCTGGTTTATACCATCAAATCCATCAGGAATTTATTCTACATACTTAAATCAGATTTTTTCCAAATAATTAACAGCGTTTCCACCCTTGGCACTGCTGGCATCTGGGGCCAGGTCATTCTATGGGGTGGAGGCTGTTCTGTGCATTCTAGGGTGTTGAGCAGCAGCTCTGGTCTTCACCTACTGGATACCAGTAGCTCCCCCTGCCCTAGTTCCGATCGGAACAACCAAAATGTCTCCAGACATCACCAAGTGTTCCCTGGAGAGGGAGGGGCCAGAATTCCCAGCAGTGATGACCGGAGCTTGGGTAAAACCATTCTTCCCACGGAGCCCTCAGGTCTGCTGTGTGGGCCTCTTTCTTGCCTGAAGGTGAGGTGGCTGTAAGCCAGGATACAATGACAGAATGTGCACTGGGGTGTGGCCAGCACCGCGGGTCTCCCCTGATGAGGGCAATGCACTTGCATTTTAAGTCTCCTTGCCCCCCACCATCTGTCTCTGTATCTCTGTCTCTTTGTATAGATAGATGATAGATAGATGATAGATAGATAGATAGATAGATAGATAGATAGATAGATAGATAGATAGATAATCTTTCAACCTTCCTTTCTCCTCTTCTCACTCTTTTTTTTTTTTTTGTAAACAGTGGTTCCTAACCCTGGATGATTTTTTAAAAAAATATATCTTTATTGATCTCAGAGAGAGGAAGGAAGAGGGAGAGAGAGAGAGAAACATCAGTGATGAGAGAGTCATTGATTGGCCGCCTCCTGCATGCCCCCCACTGGGGAGGGAGCCCGCAACCCGGGCATGTGCCCTGACTGGGAATCGAACCAGGATCTCCTGGATCCTAGGTCCATGCTCAACCACTGAGCCACACCTGGCTGGGCCTCACTCTTTTTTCATTTCTCAATCGCTCCTCTCTTTCCGTTCTTTCTGTTTGTTTCTATCTCTCCTCTCCCCTTCTTTCCCCTCCCATCTCGCTGTCTCTCCCTCTTCCCCTGCCCTCTTCTCTCCCTTTCTCTCTCTCTCTCTCTCTTTCTCTCTCTCTCTCTCTCCTTCTCTCTCTCCATCTCTCTATATCCCTTTCCTTTCCTCCCTCCCATTCATTCATGATCCCAATGCCTCGGCCCCAAGGGGAGTCCCAGGGAAGCAGAAGTGACTCAGAAGCGACTTAGCCTCAGCTTCCCCCAGAGCCAGTGAACAAGTGTTTGCTAAATGACTAATCTGGTGCGAACTTGAATTGAGCTTCAGGGCTGGAGCAGGTGCTTTCATCCTAGGCACTTTCTACAAATTCTCACTTTAAACCCTCCCAACAAGCTGGGGGAGTGGGAGGATAGCCACCCATTTTCCAGAGGCAGAAAGTGGGGGCCAGGGAGGGGAAGGCTGCCCCAGTCCCGGTGCTGGTACAGGTGGTGGAACAGGGGCTTAAACCCAGGTCAGCCCAGTCCTGATGTCACAGCTCCTACCCACACCTAGAAATGTCTACACACTGAACCACATCAAGCTGGCCCAATTTTCCTCCACACACATGATCTGGCGGTTCCTGGAAGCCCCAGTGAGTCCCCTTGAGGCCTCTGTCTGAACACCCTAGAAAGCTCATTTTCCAATCAAATGCCGGACCGGAAGGAACGGGGTCAGGTAACAGAGGTGTTTGGGGGAGCCTTGCTCGGCTGCAATAGGAAGCAAAAGGGGGCCTGGGCTGGCCGTTGCCCAGAAAGCTAAACAGAGAGTTCCCATGTGACCCAGCCATTCCCCTCCCTGGCGCAGACCTCAAAGAGCTGAAAACAGGGGCTCAACCAGATGC